AAGGAGACAAAGAAGGCTGAGAACATCCCTAATCATCAGTTCATGCCATGGGTCAGCTGTGTTGCTCTTGTTTATCCATTTTGAGATTGCTGTGACAGAATGGTGCTACTAAACCAGGATGTGTTGCCTGCCCAATCTTCACATTCTTCCATGGTAGATTATCTGCAAAATGCTCAAGTAACGACCTTTCCAGCATAATGCTCACGTGCTGGGAGAGAGCAAAAATTCTGCAGGTCATGCCATGAAGCACATCACTAGTCTTGGCAGAACTGGAGCTGGTGAAGGGACTGTCTCTGATGGTATACCACAAGCTCATTTTTTCTCACATACCCATACCACTTGGACTGCATTTCCTCTCCAGCATTCCTTGTTAGTCCAGTTCCAAAATCCCTTTTCTTCTTGGCATCTTGTATGTGATGCCGCAATGAAGACAGAGTGCCCTCAAGAAGTGGGACATGATGTTTTCTTTCAGGATGACTTTAGCACTGAGAAGATTCTGTGGACTATGCCCATTTTTACAGGAAACAGACAAGTGCAGAAAGAATGGGAACAACAGAACAGTCTGTTCATTTTGTGCAAAAACCACACAACGAGACCAGGACCTTCCCAGACCTACCTGGGAATTGACTAAGTCTGAATCTGGCTCTCACACAAGCAAAGCCATGTGAAGTGTGCTAGATCCTGCTAATGCTGAAAACAGCTCCAGAACAAGGGTTAAAGCCAGGACAGACAAGTATGAGGTTGCTTGCCTGAGTTGCAAGAGAAGATGGCTGTCTTGGCAGGGGGCCAACCAAGAAAGACAGAGCTCGGTATTTTTGAGGGTAACACCATTGCCAGTAGGTCACAAGTAATCTGGAAAGGCTTCTGTTGAAAGCTGAAAACAGGACAGCATCGAGTCTGTCCAGACTTGACAGACTGCAGTCTCTCATGAAGTCCATGAGAGACTCCATCTCTCATGGGGACCTTGTGTCTGTGCTCAGGGAGTAGTGTGTGACTCTTCACAGATGTCCCATTTCAGTGTCTTCTGCGGTGGAGGAAGAGTTGTTCCACCCTGTCCCATGCCCTAGTGGCTTTTAGATGACCATAGCTTCCAAGAACCTGGAATACTGTTTTCTTTTCATTTACCAGTGATGGCTGGTCTATGCCTCTAGCCTGACCACATGATGACATGAATCATTTGATTCGGACCATAATGCAACACCATCTCTTGCCAGGGATAAAATCTGATCATATTACATTTGATGACACAAGACATTGTTCTCATTCATTGCCCCACAGATCTTAAAACTATCCTTCCCCATAAGTAAGAAGGATGTAAGGACATCTCTTCTCATACTCCCTTGCTTTCAGTAGCCTGTCCTGCATCACGCCATGATGATGACTTCTGGCTCTAGGCCAGGTTTGCAGGCTCTTCCCACAAGAGAAGGTGTTGGTGTCTTAGGTCCCAAGCACAAAAATATAATGAAGAGATACCATAGCTCCTGTCAGTGTACCCCAGGATCTCTGAAGGGAAAACTGTAAATGTGTCTTGCTCTTTGAAGGCATTTGAATAAGACAAATCCATAGGAAGAAGTGCTGCACAGACATAGTGTATAGACTGCCACATATTGACTCCAAGGCATGGACTGGCCAAAACCATGGTGCAGAAAACTAATAGCCAGAAGCCACCCCTTCACCCATATCCCACTTCCCTTGCATGCTTTTAAGCTATGACGCTATGGCCTGAGCTAGGCAGAGTTTATTATGCAGGCCCTTGCAGGATCACAGTGTGCATGCTACAGACCAGACTGCCTCATAGCAAGAGGCAGAAGAGCCTTGCTGGAGATGCCAGCCAAGGGTACAGCCTGTCCTGTTTCACAAGCTTTAAAATTTTGGGGTCACTATACACAATTCTTGTATACGTTCCATCGGCCTACTCGAAAGTCTCATGACAGCCAGTACGTACACCCTGTCCTAAAGCATAGAACAGAGACATTCAATTTAGTATGCTGCTCAGGTAACTGAAGTACCATCGTTTTACAAAATAGCTTATTCAGGAACAAATTATGTATGTGTCACTGCTCTCTGCAATAAATGTAAGAAGTTTTATAGTGCATTTGAGAAAAAACTCAACTTTGATTTGGTTTTTTTATATCATTTAACTAAAATTTTATGTTCATGATTGCTTTCTACAATACACAATGCAAATGGAAAAGAAATATGGGGGAAATTACATCGCTAGTAGGAAAAAAATTTAATAAATAAAATGTGCTGGAAGTAAAACAGATGGTTGGCACCTGGTGGTTCTGTATAGCCCTGGGTGACAGTTAAGCTGTTCCTATGCTTGGGAGAGGGGAGAAAAGGGAAGGGAAACATGTCTGTATCACTTTTGCACTCATGCTATTTTAGGGCTCTTGACGTTGTGGGGCCTGGGGCTACAAGCTGTGCCTAAACTGAAGGTTAGTTCTAGTTCCTCAACTGTTCACATCCCCCAACACTGCTCTCTTCCCATAGCCTGGAGGATGTTGTGTATGTTGGCCAGATAGCCACCATCACGCGTGCCTAGGGAATCAAGACCACTGAGCACACCATGGCACTTGCCACCTCCAAGCAAAGCCAGAGCACAACAGCAGCCTTTGCTGCTCCGTCTTGCAGTCACTTCTCAGGAGTGCTGAGAAGCAAAAGCAATCACAGTGTGGTCACTCCATGTATCTCCATGCCCTCCCTGCTTCTGAAACACATCTAATGTGGATCCATGCAAGGCATTGCATTATATATTGCTGTCTGAGCAAGGGGACACTCCCTGCACAGAGGCTCCTTTGCAGAGAGTTTGTGATCTCTCCAAATAACATTGCTGCAGTGCTGTCTCCAGTGGTCTAGACCTCTGTAACACTTTATGGCCATATGCAGTCTCAGACATAGAATGTCAAGAGTTGTCAGTCAGCTACAATTCATCTTCCCCACAAAGCTATTGAGTGTGACAGCAAACCCTCATTTTGAGCTAAGCCCGTTTTGAAAAATTACTGGAAGGCAAGTTGTTGAAAAACAGACAGGCTGTTTCAAATGGGAACAGCGAGGCTAGTGCCTGTGCTGATTTGCAGTAGGTTCAGATACAAGGTCACACAGTAGGAGAAATGAGAAAAAAAAAATCAGCATATGCTGTATAATGGGATAATTTTAATAGCAAAATTGCTCATTCTCATTTCTTATTCCCAGAGATTCATTCAGCCAACCTGGAACCTAACCTCCTCCCTCCACAGGTTGTCTTTAGCTTGCATTGGTACTTGGTGATGTGTATACCACATATAGGAAGTTAACTTCTTCGGTCATCTCCCAAGGAAACACTACATTGAGCAAAGCAAGGGAAGGAGAGGAGCCAGCACCACTTTTCTCACCAGTGCAGTCTTGGAAAACTGGCTGGTTTCAATCAACGTGCAAAGAGGTTGCATCCACTCCCACAAACTTCCCGCAGCAAAGGGGCAAGAGAGGTCCAGATTAAGGAGTGACACAGTAAGATTTGATACGGAGCTCCTATGCCAGAAGCATGACCTTGCATGCCGTGATAGTAGGTTGGAAAGATGAGGCACGACCATCAAAAAGCACAACTACAGGAAGGATATTGAGACCACTGGTACAGAATTGGCTCTTCTCTTGTGTTGTATGCATAATGACTGCAATTCTAGCACATTCCGCAATGGCTTTACTACTTCAAAAGTCCATGAGCAGTAACAGTGTTCAAAATTCATCACCTTAGTCATCTAATGCTGGTTTTTCAGCATACAAAATGTCAGTAGATGGACTAGATGTCTGATTCTGGAAGGTCATTCCCAACATCCCATTTCAGGAACATCCACTATTAACGTACTTAGTCAGCACTTCACACATAGTCAAATTATTTTCATGTAACCATAGAAAAATTAGCCCCTCTGGCCAGACTTCTGCAGGCAATACTGCAAACATTTACAAACAACCACTATAACCTGACTATCATGCTTGTACTAGCATTCTTGTGACACTTGAGAAAAGATTTTACCAAGTCTGTGCAGTATGTTTTAAGCAGTGCATCAGAACCACTAGCTAAAAGCATCCTCAAACAGACATGACAAAAAATGTTGCTATTTTTATAGATCATGTATTTAAGTGCAAGAACTGCATAAACAACTTATAACCTTTTTAATACTATAGCAATCAGCTGATTTACCACATCTTTAGACCAGCATCCCAGAACTTCTCCCTCCTAGATCTGCAAGTGTCCTTGAAACACTTGGCCACTGAGCATCTATCTTTCATAAGTTTTAAGTCTATCTATTATTTCTTGACAGGAACCTTCTGTATTTAATAGAATTTCCAAACTCACAGAATTCCCATCAGACTGCTTCTAAGTGAAGCACTTGGAAGCAGGTATCTGTAAGATGTTAGCAAAGCATCAAAATTTAAAAAGTGAATTGCTCCTTTAATCTGTGTCAAAAGAACTAATCCTACTTCAGGGCCTAGCTATATTAGGCTGTATACTCGAAAATTCTGCAAGGTTCAGGAATGGAAAGAGTAGTCCAGAAGCACTGTAAAAATTATTTCATTTACAATAAAAATGTTTAGGAAATCCATTAATTTTGGAGATAATGTCAGAAAAGATGCACATGATCTCACCTGCTCTCCCTTTGTATTTTGTTGTCTGTTTAAGAGAGAAAAACAACCACTGCAATTCCAGACTCTTTCCTCTCCCAATAGAGGAGGACAGGATTGTCTAGAATTTGTTTTATTTTTTAATTCCCAAATAATATTCATATGAATCATTTACATTAATGACTGGAAAAAATAGATAACTACAGATACATGACTTTGGAAATAACTTTTCACCAATCAGAGTATCTGAAAGTGTTCTGATTAACAGCATTTTGTTCAAGTAAGATGCTTTTAATTATGGTTTTAATTGATTACTGATACTTAACTACAGGTGTTTGCAGGGAAAACATTCTGCATGAGTAATTATATGATATGTTCAAAAAAACCAGTCATATCTGTTTCCACTGTGCATTTTATTCAGTTTCAAATTAGAAAAAAATTACTAAGTGTTTGACGATTCACATGCATAAACTCAAAATTTCAGCCCAAAAAAGTATTCATTTCTTTCAGTCTTGTATTAAGGTGTTCAGGAATTTCACCTAGGCAGACAAATATCTGAATTTTTAAAAAAAGAACCAAAATAGAAAGACAAGCTATAATTCAGTTTTACTTCTGTTAACAAACACGACCAAAGTGAGTCCTGGTAGTACGCAGTTGCATTCTTTATCTTTTCAGTTGCGTATAGTTGATAGGAGTCAAAGTGATTGAGAAAGAGTTATCTTCAGCAAAAGTTTTCTTCAACAGTGTCTTGATTTGGAGTGCTGAATAAGCCATTGTAATGTTATGTCTGCCAGGATAGATAAAACAAAATGAAAAACTCAACAGCCTGTTTGCAGAGTGTAAAAGGATAACAGAACATCAGCAGGTTAATAGAAATAAAAAAACCCCAAACAAAACCCAGAAACCACAGGCTTTCATTTACACCTAATTAAAAATTCAGTACTTAAAACTCCAGGTAGAGGTTTTTTCTGTTGTTTTTTGTTTGGTTTTAAATTATGTGCACTTTGTATTCTTGAAATATGATGACTGACTTCGAGTTCTCTAAGCCACAGATGAAGAACTGTTGGAAAAGCAAAGATTTAAGATGACCATAAAATGAACTGTAAAATCCAGACTAGAATGAAATGTAGTGTGAGAACAAAGGCAGAAATACACAACTGGAAGGAAAGAGAAGGGCAAACATCTGACAAAGCATTAAGAAGCCATTTAGGCAGGTTGTAGGAGTCCAAGTTCTCTCAAAGACACACAACACTGGACTGAAATTCGACAGCTGAAATTGGTACCCCTCCTGATACAATCTAACCCAACTGCATTGGGCTGAAAACTGCAGCAGTTCATGAACTGATTCATAAGCAGATTAGATGTTTTTGCCTCAAGGCAGTAACATCTGTCAGGGAGGTAGGAAGGTTGTCAGGGGGCAGCAACAGCTCTAGCCCTCAAATTTAAATTTTTTGCCACATCTGTCCTAAGTTCAAAGCAGCACTCCATGAATATCCTGGCAGACCAGTTCAGGCACTGCAACTGCAGGCAAAAGCACCCCACGGTATCTAAAACAAAGCTAATAACTATATACTAATCTTCCACAGTCTCTCAGGACACAGAAAATGGCAGCCTTACACCTACACCTCCTGACAAGACCAGTTAGCTAGGCTGCAGTTTACACTGAAAAATTACTATCACCTCATTCAACTGCATTGACGTCAATCAAAAATGCAGGGGAAGAAGACAGCTCCTAGTCTTCTCCTTAACAGCCTAGTAGCTTCATCACTTTAATAAGCTAAATACATTTTCATTATAGTTTTTCATTACAAATTATATTTTCCAGTCCTTTGATCTCCCTAGGTTCTTGCCCAACCTCTTTTCAGTTTCTTAAGGTCTTCCTCAAAATACGGCACACAGTGCTCCAGTAATGCCTGCACAGTTCCAAACATAGGATATACGCAGTCTGCTCCCATTTGCTATTTCTTTGGGCAAATATTCAGGAACCACGTTAGCCTTTCTAGGCACAATGTTAGACTGGAAGATACTTGACTGATTTTCAGTTAGGATTTGAGTCTTTTTCATCACTGCTCCCAGAACTTCCACAAATAAGTGACCTACACAGTTCTGCATTAGTGATCATTATTTTCATTATTTTCCCATTTGCAAATTTTAGCACACTTTTTTTGCATGCTTTTCTCTTCCATGCCATCCATATAAATGAACCAGGATCAAAACCTATTTTCTCCAGGATCCTCTCATAAATTAGGCTGGTTTTATCACTTCTGAGATCCTCCACTGCAGCCTTGCCAGTTTGATAAGGATCAAGCACTGCGTTTCTAAAACCTCAATCACCTTCACTGCCCTTCACCTATGTAGATAATCTTGACTATGTTGTCTTCCTCGGTCCTTGTATCCCAAAGTCTAATCTTCCCCAGTGTAACAGCACATTCTGTGTATTTCCCTTACTCAGAGATAACTGTTGCATCCCAAGCTGCAGCAAACCTGGGTCCAGTCTTCTTCAAACCAACACACCCAAATCACGTACACCATTTCCAAGAGCAGCCCTCACTGCCTAACACATCCCTGCACACAGCTGAAATCTCCCCCAGTTCTCTGAAGCCCAGGTGTCATGGCATAGTCTCCTTGCCATCTCTGCTACCCAGTCCTCTCTGCCTAGGATGGAAATTTCCCCTGCTGCTGAGAGAAACTGGCTTTCCTCCCATTTCCACTCCCACTGTCTCTCATTCAGCTGAGCCCCACAGAGCTGCCCAGCTCTTCTAAGGAGTCTGGCTTCCTCAAGAAGCAGCCATAAATATCTACCCAGGCTGTATCCCTCCCATCCAGCACCACTTGTCTCAGCAGCATGCAGGGAAGAATGGTGGCACAGAGCCAGCATGCCCCCAGGAAACCACTACTGCTGGCTCAGCCTGTGCTTAACTCCCTTCTCCTGCCCTGTGGAGGGAAGGAAGGGGAGAACATGACAGAGGAAAGAGACAGGAAAGTGGAAGAAAGGGGTGAAAGAGAGGAACAGGCAAAAAGCAAAGGCAGATGGGAGACAATTTCATGGAGCTTTTACAGGTCCTCACTGACTGCAGGATATACTCTGTGTGTCTCCAGTAGGACAAATGCACTAGTCCCTCAGTTTGAGGAACACCGCCCTACAGCCACATGCACATAAGGCCTGCTTACAAAGTAAAATCGTGTATGGAGCAAAACACTTACCAAAATTTTTTAAGTATCACCTAATAATTGGAAGACCTTCCTCTCCAGTTACTGTTTTTTCAGAAGTAACAGTTTTTGTGAGGGATTCAATTACTTTGGGTTTTAAATATGCTTTTCCAAGGCCCCTGTCAAATTAATTTCTTAACTTCTCATGGAACTAAATAATTCTACAAGTGACTTTTAAATTACACATAATTCTGTATTAAAACAAATACAGTTGCATGCAATATTTGCAACAAAATCAAAGTAAATTGAGATTTTCAGTTATATATTAGAGTTAGATATTCAAATCTCATTAACAACTTTAACTTTGGATCCAAAGTACAAAGTATACATTGATGATGCTGTAAGGAAGAAGAAGCTTACCAATGTTATCTTTCTCTTTACAGGAAATAGAATAGCAACAGATTTCTCTGTCTTGAATAGCTGAAAGGTTTCTACGGAAAAAAAAAAAAAAAAAGTAGTGCTATAACTGCACAAAAACTGACAACAGAAATTTCCATTAAATTACATGTTTTCTGCTTTTTACTCAGTGGGTTCAATTCTATCCTCAGATATTAAATTTTGAAAATATGCTACTGCACACAGAAAAACCCCATGTTTCTTAAACTATAAAGATCAAAAGGTTATAAAGTCATTTCACAAAAATTCAAATTTCTTATTAAGTCAGTGTAATAGTGATTAATAAAACCACAGAAATCCATGAGCTGAAAATAACATTTCATAGTGGCAACCAAGTAACATTACCATGTCTTAGCATTCACTTTTTACTCTTTTCACTTAGAATTCGGAGCTTTTATCTCTAATAACTCTAATAATCAAATAACAGTACTCAAATAATCACACCATTAATCTTCAGGACTTTTATTATATCATACTCAAACATATCAGATCTGATTCCTGCTGAAAGGATCCTCTACATTTAGGAAGAAACTGATTCTTAATTAACTTTTGTTTCTTTCTGGGAATCTCCCTATCCCCCTCAGAGTTTCTGAGCACTTTTTGTTATTTTTTCATTTATTTATCCTCACACAAGTGGCACAGACATGCAGAAAAGAGATTATGTTCCTGGAGCAGATGGAGAGTGGAGGCACTGAGAAGGAAGGAGTCTTGAGATCATACAAGAGACTCTAATAAGAGAACTAAATAGTGACCTCCCTGGACTTCAGGAGAGCAAACCTGGCCTCTTCAGGGATCTGCTTGAAAGAGTCCCATGGGATAAGGCCCTGTACCGAAGAAGGGCCCAGGAATGTTGGTTAATATTCAAGGATCATCTCCAAGATCAAAAGCAGCCCACCCTAATGAGTTTGGAAAAAAAGCCAGGAGGCATAAGTGAATGAACAACGAGCTCCTGGCATAACCCAGTCACAAAAAGGAAGCATATAGAAGGTGGAAGCAGGGACAGGTAACCTGGAAGGAATACAGAAACACTGTCCAAGCATGCAGAGACACAGTTAGGACAGCCAAAGCCCAACTGAAATTGGATGTTGTGAGGGATGTTGAAGGCAACAAGGGCTTCTGTAAGTATGTAAGTGACAAATGGAAGACAAGGGAAAATGTGGGCCCATTGCTCAATGAGGTGGGGGACCTGGAAAAGGCAGGACTCAATGCCGCCTTTGCCTCCGTCTTTACTAGCAAGGTTAGACTTCAGGAATCCCAGGCCCCAGAGACCAGGGAAAAAGTCTGGAGCAAGAAGTTGTACCCCTGATGGAAGAGGATCACATCAAGGAATACATAATCAAACTGGACATAGAGAATTCCATGGGCCCTGATGAGATGCACCTACAAGTGACGAGAGAGCTGGCTGATGTCATTGTGAGGCCATTCACTGATAACCTTTGAACGATCATGGCAATTGAGAGAGATGCCTGAAGAGTGGAGGAAAGTAAATGTCACCCTTATCTTCAGAAAGAGCAGGAAGGAGGACCCAGGAAGCTACATGACAGTCAGCCTCACCTTGATCCCTGGGAGGGTGATGGAGCAACTAATGCTGGAAACCATTTCCACGCACATGACAGACAAGATGATGATCATGAGTAGTCAGCATGGATTCACAAAGGGGAAATCATGCTTGAACAACTTGATAACCTTCTACAATGAAATCTACAGCTTGCTAGATGAGGGGAGAGCAGTGGATATTGTGTACCTTCACTTCAGTAAGGTTTTTGACACTGTCTCCCACAATATCCTCATAGACAAGCTGAGAAAGTATAGGCTGGATGAGCAGATGGTGATGTGGACTGAAAACTGGTTGAACAGTCAGGCCCAGGGGGTGGCAATCAGTGGCACAAAGGCTGGTTGGAGGCCAGTAACTAGTGGTGTACCACGGGATAAGTACTGGGTCCAGTCCTGTTCAACATCTTCACCAATGATCTGGATGATGCAGCAGAGCATACCCTCAGCATGTTTGCTGATGACACAAAACTGGGAGGAGTGGCTAATACACCAGAGGGTTGTGCTGCCATCCAGAGGGACCTCCACAGGCTGAAGAAATGGGCTGACTGGAACCTCAGGAAGTTCAACATGGGGAAGTGCAAAGTCCTGCCCTTGGGAAGGAACACCAGTACGTGCTGGGGGCTGACTATCTGGAAAAGCAGCTTTGCAGAAAAGGACCTTGGGGTCCTCGTGGACAGCAAGTTGAACATGATCTAGCAACATGGCAAAAAAGGCTAATGGTATCCTGGGCTGCATTAGGAGGTGTGTTGCCAGCTGGTCGAGGGAGGTGATCCTTCCCCTCTATTCAGCCCTGGTAAGGCCATACCTGGAGTGCTGTGTCCAGTTCCAGGCTCCCCAGTACAAGAGGGATGTGGAGCTACTAGAGAAAGTCCAGTGAAAGGTCACTAAAACGATTAAGGGACTGGAGCATCTCACATACTAGGAAAGGCTGAGAGAGCTGGGACTGCTTAGCCTAGAGAAGAAAAGGCTCGGGGGGAATCTTTTTAATGTGTACAAGTATCTGAAGGGAGGCTGTAAAGAAGATGGAGCCCAGTGACAGGACAAGAGGCAATGGGCACAAACTGAAACACAGGAGGCCCTTTCTGAACACAAAGAAACACTTATTACCTCTGAGGGTGACTGAGTGCTAGCACAGGTTGCCCAGAGAGGCTGCAGAGTCTCCACCCTTGGAGATATTCAGAAGCCGTCTGGATATGGTCGACGGCAGTCAGCTCTAGGTGGCTCTGCTTGAGCGGGTGGGTGGACAAGAAAACCTCCAGAGGTCCCTTGCAATCTCAGCCATTCTGTGATTCTGTGTTTCCTAAGTCTCAGTTTAGTTGCTTAGCCTTTGGACCATCCTTCTATACTGAAGCCTCACTTCACTTCACTGCACTTGCACTGCATTTCACTTGCACTTCCTACTGATTGAAATTATGTGATATGAGACACAGAAACCTATTCTGCAAAATTATTGCTATACTGGCCATTTTTACAAAATTGTATATTTCCTTTACTATTACCCTTACAATGCATCAATTTAAGTTAGTTTCAGTAATCCGTAAGTATATGCTTGGCTACATGCCAAAAATATCTGAATTGCTTAAATTTACAGACAGTAGTTTGAAATGGTTCTGTTCTAATGCCGTTTGAGCATTAAACTGCCACTACAATGTACTCTGAAAAGTGTAAATGAGCCTATTACTACATATAGCAGTTAGATCTTCAGTGATGAGAAAACAGGACTATCTGAAACAACTGTATACAACCAAAATAATAATCAAGAGAGGTTTAAATCTACTGTAGTCGGTTATCAGCCTAGATTGCTATTTCAACTGCCAGCAGAGCTCGGAGTGGAGTATCTGAGAATATAAAATGGAATCTGTTATAGCTGGTTATCGCCATGGACTACCAACGATTTTCTCTTATATATTGAATTTCACAGAGTTTCAGCTTTTTACACAGGCCAGCTACTTACAATTTCTCAATTAACTGCTTTTCATCCAGTGCACCTGGGAGGTCTCTTTTATTTCCAAGGACTAACACCTGAAAGAAATCATTCATATTCATGTTAAATCCAGAAGGAATAAAAGTTTATTTTTATTTGTTTTGTAATGCCAACCACTTGTTGGCATTATTTTGGATCTTGCAGCCAAGTATTTAGAACACAGTAGCGGACATATTCAAAACGACCAATGACTGTGGGAGCATCATGGAAATCCTGCTCCTAGCCAGGGTCAGATGCTGGGTACACACCCTCTGGAAACTGGATCCAATTATTTCTGGGTATATCAGTATCAGAAGTCTCCTCTGGAAGTGAATCTCTCCATTCAGGATGGCATTATGGGATGGTGTCAGATTCCACCAGGTGGATTCCTTTTGCATGCAACTAAACCTGGATGAGAGCATGCACCAGGTGCACTCAAGCCACCAACAGACATTCAATCCATAGGACCAGACTAATGTTAATCAAAAGTAGGGCCCCAGAAGTAGAGGCTGGGTCCTTAAGATCCAGAATTTATTCTCTCTACAGTTTTACTCCCGTGCTTCTTAACATTGACATACTAAACAGCCAGGCATCCAAAACAATATATCACCCAAGCATCAGCCAAATAACTCATTCCTCTCCAACCCCTTTGAGCATCCATGGTAGAAATCAGAAGGGCAGCCATTAGGAATTAAGTCTGATAAACACAGAAAATTTACTGAACAGATGCTGGAATTCAAGAATTCCTACGCAATACTTAAGGCTTCAAGTATAAATTAAGATCAGATGAATGGGTTGAGTACATTCTAAGATAAAGTAAGCAATGGAAGGTTTTTCTAATTATGATTGCATTGTTTTCCAGATGCGTTACAATTCTGAGTCAAGCTTGTCCCATTATTTCCCATGAATTTGGAACACGTTAAAACTCATTATTTGCAGTCTCAGATTAATAAAGCTACCTTAAAATCTATAATGCCAAAGCCTGAGTACAATAAATTGAAGGAAGTTCAATACTAGTTACTACCTATGAAATAAAAATAAGTAAAAAATACATTACTGCATCTTGGAAATTACTCTGCTGGTCAGGCTGGGCAATTGGAATGTGATATTGTAACATATAAAACGAAAGGAACTTAATTAGATACTTCTGAAGATATGAGAGACCTATCATTTCAGGAAGGAAAAGTGCAAAGTAAATAAAACAGGATGGGAAGACAGTACAAAGGACAAAGTCACTCACCATGAACAGCATGACTGTAGATTTCTGTAGGATTTGTTCAATATGTACGTCACATAACAAAATGCAACAACAATAGCAAACCTTATAAAAAAGATGGGGAGTCACTTGAAAAATTCTTTGAGAACAGATGTGTGAGAACTTTATTCTCACAATGATTTCATGTCAGCTGTCTGTTTACTCATCCTCAGATGACTTCGACCACTTGCACTGGCTAAGTGTCCAAATATTTGCTTACAAAAAATGGGCCAAGCAAGAGCCATCAAGCTGTGAGTACCTTCCTCCTGATCTGTATGTACCATTGTTTTCTTTCTTATGATCAAAGGTATGAACTCTTGCTTGGTGACATCGGCATCAAAGATCAATGGTAACCTGACTGATTCCTACTAGCTCCAAATTGGCAGATTACACTTAATTAAACAACATTAGTCTCCACCTCTGTTAATTTCTCACTAGAATGTCAGCAGAATATACTATACTTTGATACTTCCTACTGGAGAACAGATGCATATTTAAATTTTTTTCATACAGTTTAGTTTGAAAAACTAAAAAGTCAAGAAAAAGAAAAAGTCAGGACACAGAAAAAGTCAAGCTCCTCCACAATCTCTGGAAGCAGAGGACGCTATTTGATGTTAGTGTCTGCCACTCTTTAGAAAGACAAATCTCACACACCATAAGATACTGCCAGAAACATATCTGGGTCACTGGTTCAAACCAAGCCAACAAGGCGACTGACTAGAAGTAATTTCTGTCTGATAATGCCACATGTGAAAATGATTTTTTTCCAAATCTATTCTGACCTTTAGACTAGACAACATAAAAACACACTGCAGCACTGATAAGAAGTTGAGTCCTCTGAAAAAATGCCACAATAATTTTTGTAAGAACACTCAATGTATCAAGGCTGCATCATACTTAAGCTAGTTTCAAGAGTCCAGAGGAACCAATTCATGAGGATTTAGGCTACAATGGCTACATTCAGGTAAGAATAATAATCAAAATACTTACTGGAATTCCATGCAATTGTGGCTTATCTATCAAACTGTGCAGCTCATTCTTTGAAGCTTCTACTTTTTCTAAGTCTGCTGCATCCACCATGTAACTGCAATGGGAACATAGTTATTTATGGTATTGTCTATTACTTGCAGAAAGTTGCATTAAAACATCTGAAATGTGACCAATGTGTTCCCATTGACAAGAGCATTAAAACAGTCCTGAGTTGTGTAAGCCCTGCACTTATCAATACAGGAAGATACAGGATTAAATACAGGCTGTGGGGAAAAAATGGCCTGGAACATGCAATTACTTATACAGCGGGCTTGCTGGATGTGTAAAACACACTATTATCGTGTTGGGTCTTCTTATGTGATAGAGGTGGACAGGAAGAAAAGCAAATCTATATTAATAATACATAGTTTTAAATATATGTTATATGGGCATACACAAGAAAACTTACACAACTGCATTGACTCCTCTGCAGTAACGCTCCCACATGCTTCGAAACCTTGGCTGTCCTCCAATGTCCCATACCTGGAAAAGGTAAGAACACCCCAACCCCAAAAACATTTTTGAACTACACAGTACTAACAGAACAGAACAAAAGAACTCTTCCATGCAGCATGCAGGCTGTACTGACAATGCCTAAATGTAGGCAGGTTTTTTTTAAGTGACCTTCCTCAAAAGACTGGTCTTCTCAGCCCCTTCCAGTCAATGGAGGGGGACAGGCACATTCAGAGGTCAAGTCAGTCCTGTGACCTTAGCAGCTCCAAATGTCCATTTGGAGAATTCCACCCTTTCCTGCTCACTGCAAAAAAAAGTCTTACTCGGATACCAAAGCGAATTCTGCAAATACACAGTCTAAAACCCAGAAAGAATAGCATCACTGTATGAAAACAGTTAGGAAGTTGCATTTTTTATGGGGCTAGGGAGACCTGAGTTAAGAATGCATCAGGCCTTCAGCAGGATAAAGACAGATATTAAGTAAATAAAGAGTTGGTCAGAGAGCAGATTGAGTCCATGTAAAGGACGATATATTCTAGAGAGATCCAATACCTCCACAGCTCTGCCATTTGTTCATCAAATGTGCTTTAAAGACACATGGATTAACTGATCAGAACCAGAAAGGAAACAGTAGTGTAGGGTAGGCCTGAAGTGATTAATGAGTGAATCTTAAGGAAAGGAAGCTCAAATTCTGCTTGGGATTTTATAAAGCTCCAATCCTGCAAATACTTATGCATGCTGTTAGTGTCTGGCAATCCCACTGAATTCCGTATCATTAAAAGGCTAGCACATTATTTTTCTGTACAGGAGTTACTTATTCTGCTTTGCTTGCAAAAATCCAGTATTTTTGGTGGATGACAATAATCTCATTCTAAAACTGTTTCCAAGATCAAAATACCAGGGAAAGGATCTAAATCATGCAGACAAGGGCTGCGTGATGATATAGGTGTTGCAGCTACATCCAAAGCCAGTTGTGTTACAAGTGACACATCTATTAAAACAGTGATGAACACTGAAAAATAAAAGGAATGGATCTGTTCCTATGTCAAAGAGAAGTAATTATTTCTTATTTTAATCAGATTTAGCTATCAAAACAATAGGTACTACATACTAGGAGGCATATCCATTACAGCACAAACTAAATTTGGAAGTAACATACACAGAAGTAAAATTTTCTTGAGAGTTGTCTTCATATTTATACTTTATAAATCCAAACATATTAAACCTGCTGTGGCAACAAAGACTTGCACAAAAGAGCAAGACTTAATAGACCCTTCAGGTAAGACCTTTTTCAACTAATGCAGACTACATTTTTAATTCCACAATCCATAAATCATATTTATGTATCAATTTCTTTATTATTTTCAACATCTTATGTTCATATTTTATAAAGAAATATTTCCCAGTTCACCATTAAAATAATTCCCTGATTGATATCTTACTGTTCCTTCTGGCATAAAATTACTATATCATCTAAATGTAGATTGCGTTTGATCCCATTTATAAGATCAAGAATTTTACACATTAAAGAGAGTTGAGTGAACTTCTGACCATGAACTGGGTATCAATTATTATCTGCACTGACATTTGAAGCGCTGTTTCAAAAGTCGTAATAAAATAAACCTTTTATTTTAAAAGCTTGAAAGAGATGAGTACACAGTTCAGTATTATAGTTAGATGAAAAACCTCACACCAACACTAATTATTCCAATAACTCATCAGGACCTTGAAACTATTAGTAACCATCTGGTGCACATCTGTGCGTCTGGAAAAAGAAACCAAATTATTTTCTTGGTAGATCAGAGAAGAAAGAAGGGGAAAGAGGACAGGGAAGGCCAGTAGTAAGATTAGATTTTTGGAGACGGACAGTGATTATTCCTCGTAGCCAGAAAAACCTACAAGATAATGTAGCCTGGACTAATCACAAAAGTAATACAAGATAAAGAAATACTAGTTTTGTCCTTGTTGGATAACATACTATATCTATACTGTATCTATACTATATTAAATTGCACTGCAGAACAAGTATTATTCTCATTAGGAGAAAGAGTCACCTTGAAACAATGGAAAGATAAGTCATTTCCAGTCAGTTTCCCTAATAAGGCTTACAACTATCCATTAAAGTACATCATGAAGGACACAAGATTGCCTAGGTGTTTTTAATAGTGCTTGGGAACCCAGTTTACATCAATATATTAAGTTATAATTATCTGAAATAGAGAAAGAAAAAAAATGTATTAAAAAAATCACCTCTTTGCCTATGAAATTAAAATGGTTCTAGTAGTAACTTTCTAATACTCTTTATTATACTGAATAGCCAATGACAGAATTAACTACTTAATTCAAAACACCAATTTCTGCCCCAAACCACTTCCACTGTAAATGCCTGAACAGTCAGAACTGTGAGAGTACAAGAGGCACCTAGGAAGGAAATGGGAGAGGTCTTAGAGTTAAAGAAGTTTTTTTGCCTTGCATGTTGTGTACATCACCTATTTTGGGATCCCAGTATTTAATACACAAATAAAAAGTATACTCTGGGTGTGAACTGGGAGAGGCAGGAGACTACATCTTAAACAGCAGAATATAGAGCTAGCTATAAAAAGTTTGTTTTGTCTCTGTTCTTAAAAAGAGACTGGACTTCAAATTGCTCCCATGGCTTTCATTGGTCTCTCAGGAATAAAATTTTTGTAATATTTAAGAGGTAATTTTATCCCTAGAAGATCAGCTGATCTTAAGAATCAGAAAATGCATACAAAATGACCAAACAGACAAAAAGTTTCTTTGATGCCCGGTACCATTGCCTCAGAGATTAAAATCTCAAGGAGTTGTTGTTTAGGCTCAATCTCAAAGCATACATCTTATTCCTACTGCATTTTATAAATCACTGTTTTATTTGTTCCTGACTACTCCTACAGAGTACTAATTCTTACTGTGCTTGCAGGCCTACACTCTCATAAAATAATGCAATGCTTTTATTTGTAAACTATTAATTGTTATACTTTGGAACCATCATTTACCATACCCGTTAAATCAAATTCTTCTAGAACAGGAATCTCTCTGGATATGTCTCTTGTTCAGTTTCCATTCTTCATGTGGCTCTAAGGCTCCTTCTTAAGACTGTGGCTATCAGCTATGTTTAAGGAGCAAATCTTTTCCTTTTGCACAGAGGTATCATGACAGTTGAGCAAAAATGCAGGTGGGCAATACGTCCAAAGGTTTTCAAAAGCTTTCAGTTACAGGAAGGCTCATTAACACTCTAGTTGCACTTCTTTATTAATTAATAGCTTATATTGTGGGAGAGCTTGACAGTTAATAAGAAAGCTGCAGGAAGGGAAAAGTAGTATTTTCTAGATGTCAAGTTTTACATGGCTTTTCTTCCAGGCATGCTGGGTAGGATGTTTCTTATGGACAGAGATGTGTACAATGACACATTTGTATCTCGATGTCAAAGCGCAGGTTCAGTACGTAAGATCTCACCACAGTCAGTGAAGCCTAGACAGCTTTCAGCTGACCAGATGTAATGTCTTCTTTAGGACGACAGAATTATGCTCTAGGCTTGATGGTACTGACTTGAGCTCCTCTGACTGTTATTGAAGGAGCTTAACACTCACTGCAGACATATACCTGTTTACATTCAGACATCTTAATTTGCTAGCTGAATCCAACACTACAAATTCCTGGACTCAGAAATATATCTTTCTGGTTGGAAGTATTCGGAAAATACCAGCCATAAAACCTAAACCTGAACAAACAGGTGAGGAAATTCTGAACACAGAAAAACATTTGGGCAGAGTAACATAGCACCAGCAACATCCAACATCACATTGTACACAGACAAGTCCACATATACCGAGATGTGACTAATGAGCTCATGCATACACAGCAAGCACAGTCACAGCATTCATAGCCCACTCAATGTGTAATGACAGGGAGTAACTGGGAAGCATGGGATTCATTTCCCTCAACTTCAGCTACCTAAAACGTAGGCATCTAATCCAAGTGCCTAAAATCTCTCTGTGGCTGCTAAAGAGCTCAGAGGGCACCCACAGCAGGAAATTATTCCATCTGCCTTACCCACCTTGCCTTCCAGGTGAACCACTCTTGCAAAGCTCTGCACTGCTCTCCACTGCATTTAGACAGCTGGCTCAGGCTGGCTTCCTCCTTTTCACCTGGCTAAGCTCTGGGGAGACAAATCCTAAAGAGTCACCTATTCTAGACTGGAATCTTCAGCCAGTAATTTTCAGCTGCCCTGTCTAATAAACAGGAAGAATAAAAAGAGCTGAATCAAATAGCCTTAAATTTTTTAATAAATTGCCCCGTGGATAACAAAACTACAGAGCCTTACTTGTAGTACCAGCCACGTAACCTATTATGGAAGTCAGAACACCTTACTACCTTAGAATACTTACTACCTGTCTATTATTCTATATTTCAGAAATGCCTTTACAGTTGCTCTTAAAGCTGGCTACATTTTCTGCAGGCAATACTTCCAGAAGACTACATCACATTGCAAAATCAGTCCTGGTCCTTTAAAGAATGCTGTTATCACTCCTCACTAGTGATAAAGTCCAACTTTTAAACATTTTTTGTAACTAGGTATTTTATCACGTCAGACAGAAAAAATGCTATATGCACACTTCAGTTTATAATTTTTTAATTTAATCATAGTACTTTCACTGAAGAATGGGAAATGTACTTAGTGTGCTTAGACTTGCAACACAAAATGGCTGAATATCTTCAATTCCTGAAAACAAGTGCAGAGGCATTTTAATGGCAGGGCTTATTTCTCAATGACTAGGGTGTATTTGACATTTTATCACAGACACATGGTACAATGCTGGAAGGATCAACAGGTGGATTTTAAACAGGACACAAACACGAAGTCTGTTCTCAGAAACTGTTTTCTGAACCTCATGCTCCTTACATCCACATTGTGTTCAAAGGCAGGAAAGTACCAGGGAACCCAGCTTTAGAGATAAGACTGTAATCCTCTCAGTCAAGACATAACACACCTCTAAATAGAAGGAGCC